CTGACTGCAGCTGTGTGCTCTACTAAAAGAGATAGTTTCCATGGGTACCTATAGACGCACCATTAAGAGAACTGGAATTACTGCTAGATGGCTGTTTTCTGACTGCTAGCCAGTTTGTCAGCCTACGCTGACCTTCCCGACACTAAGGGAAATAGAAATTTTTAAAAGTCACAATATACTTTGTAAAAATTGACTTATAGTCTCTACTCAGGCAAATTTTCCTCTTTCTTTTAAGCATTAACTACATGGCTATCAGCCAGCAAACCCTCCAGCACTTCACTGTCCCTTGAACCGCAAGCCTAACAAAACCAGTGGGGTGCTCAATCATGGTTTAGAGGACGAGACACCATTTCAGCTCCAATGAAGGCTGGGTGTGACTGGAATCATGTGATCAGTCAAGGAAAAGTCCTGAAGGAGCATTCTGCAGGCAATGGTGTTACGAGTAAAACATGATATAAATCAATGCATTGTTTAAAAACCAGGCAGTTCAGTAGACCACCCAAGCACTTTCAAACTTAAGTCTGAATCCATTCTGTCTTCATAACTGAAACAGGGCTTATATTATGACTGTATTCTTTTGCACCTTCGTGCTCAAGGTAGATTAAATAAAGTAGATTAAATGTGAAAAAGACTAAAAAGCAAATATCTACAACCTGGCTCACCAGTCACTACCATCAAGACCTGAAACAACTGGAGGCAAAGTTGATTTTTTTTCAATTAAATCATCTGACAATGGAAAAAAAACAAAAGATGATGAGTTTTGGTTCTAAAAGAGCTTTTAGAAAGTATTTAAATTATAATTTCTGTTCATGCATAAAAATTTTGTAAGTATTCAATTTAAGTTTCAAACTCACATGCCAGAACGGTAGCAAACCACTAAATCATTTCTTAAATTTGCCTGCTGGCAGGTTGCAATTACACTAACTGACACAATACGTAATTGCCCCAGGCTGCATGTGATCTACAACAAAACCCATCACAAATGGTACATCGGTGCTCATTCAAATGCACCAGCATCCAGTTGATTTGAGAAAGTTACTGACACCTTTCCTCAAACCCCGTACACACTGCTGAATGAGATTCTGGCAATTCCTTACCCAACGTCCACAGCTCTCTGCAGCCACAACACTACTGAGTCTAACACCATCTCCAGTAATTTCAGATTCTCTCGGCAGCAGGTTGTGAGCTATCACCCACGCAGATGTACTATGTACTGCAGATAACAAGACAGTGATCAAGAACCCTGACTGATTCTTCTACTTAATCTCCCATCTCTCATTTCTCTTGATCACCAGCAAATGAGAGGCCAGTGGAATCTGACCAAGCGAGATCAACATTGATCAATGAAGGCCAGTATCAATTCCAGGTTTGTGCCAAGTTTAGAAAAGCCAGGAAAACAGTTGAGGATTATCAGATCAGCCATGATCTCCAGTGAATGTGGAGCAGATTGGATGGGCTGAACGGTCTCCTTCTGCTCCTACGTCTTTTGGTCTTACAGAAGACATCAGCCTGAGCCACACGGACATTATAAATCAGCATAACCAAAGTGTTCCTGACTCAAGATGCTGAGTAGCCAAAATTTGAGAAACAAAGACCGTTCTGTCTAAGTGGTTTACAATGAACTGCAATGTGACTATCCAGAGTTGATTAAGAAGTGAGCTTAGTTGTCACACCTCAGAACTGAATAACCTGCCACAGGAGATCATTTGGCCCTTGAGCCTGCTCCACCACTCAAAACCATGGCTGATCAGGTTGTAGTCTCAATTCCACTTTCGCACCTGCACTGCATAAACCTCAAATCCTTTGTCTATCAGAAATCTAAAATCAGTCTTGAATAAATTCAAAAATCCACCTCCACTACCTTCTGGGGAAAGGATTCCCACACTGTAATGGCCCTTATTCTAACGCAATCTTCTGGTCATCATCGCCTCCATAAGAGGAGAATCATGCTAGCATAGTGTTAACTCAAATTGTTTTAATGTTTCATTAAGATCACTTCTCATTCTTTTAAACTCCAATGAAAAGTGGTTCAATCTGTTCAATTTTTCATCAGAAGAAAGAGCCTTTTATCATCTTAGGATAGACATTCACATCCTAACATCTGAGCAATGCCAGAGAGCCATTGTCTTAAGCTGAAGACAATCTTGAAAAGCAAAACTAGGTCCACTTAATAGCTCAGTTTCACATAAAAAAAAATCTGGATTAAAGAGTGCAGGGAGATGCCAACAATCCCAATTTGTGGAAATGAGAGGATTTCAACATGATGGCACAACTGACCTTGCAGCAGTTAGGGTTCAAAAGGAAATAAAGTTAACCAGGGTTCCTGCTATTCAACAACCCCAGCACGAAGCTGGCAAGCAGAAAGGATTCAGGCAAACACAGGAAGTTAGCTGATAACTTAAAATTCACCAATATAACGCCTGGCCAAAATGGACAGGGCTCAGAATAGAGCCCTTTAAATTATCAAGGAAATTACTCATGTAGAAAAGGAGTGGTGAAAGAAGGAAAGCAGAGCTAATCACTTCCCAGTTAAAACCTTCTTACATAATCAATGTGGAATTAGCAAAGGCTTTCAAACAAAAACAGACATTGCTGAAGAAACTCAAGAAGTGAGCAAATAGGCAGAGATTGAGCCCAGAGGGAGAGAACAATATGAGGCACACAAAGGGATGGACAACCTCATGCCTTTTTCTAGCTACTAGCAGTTCTGAAGGAGGGTCACTGCTCAATACAACTCTGCTATTTTTCCACTAATGCTGCCAGTCTCTCCTGCAATTTCTGTTTTTGTTTCGGATTTCTAGTATCCCCAGTTCTTTGTTTTATTTTAACAAAAGCTTTGCCCTGTTCTAAGTTTGAATTAGTGGAGTAATTTAAAGACAAGTGCTATTACAAATATGCGCAAATACACTCCTCAAACCATGGTTAGATCAACTCCCAGGAAGTATTCAATCCTATTCACAGTAATAGGTCATTCAGGTGTGTTCTGCCATTCAATAAGATCTGATGATTCAATGTTGATCTGAAATGCAAATCTAATTACCCATCTTGGCTTCGTAGCCCTTATTAGCGCTGTTTAGGAACATTCTCAGATTTGAAGTTAATTTAGCATTACTGCTGTTTTTAACAACTTTCCAAATCTCTACCACCACACACCATGAGTCTTTCCCAGCTTCTCTACCAAATGGCCACACTCTGATTTTAAGAAAATGACCACTTGTGCTGGAATCGTCTACAAATGTTGTTGTTTCTATTCTATCAATTTCTTCCAACATATTCAAATCAAAGCTGGTAGCACTCACCCACTCCAGATCCTGAGCACAAAACTAAAGGCTGATACTCTAGTGCAGGATTGAAGCAAGGTTGCACTGCTGAAGGTGCTATCTTTCAGGTGAAACCTTAAACAGAGGTCTGCTCAAGTGGAAGCACAATGTCTTCTTGCACTAGTTTGAAGAGCAACTATTCTATCCAATATTTATCTCAATCCATATCACAAAAACAGATTATCTGGCCATTATAACATTACAATTTGCAAGAGAATGCTGTGCACAAACTGGCTGCCATGTTTCCTACATTTCAGCATTACTTAAATGGCCAGAAAACAGAAAAGTCATAAAGAAATGTATATAAATACAAATCTTTCTTTATAGAAGATTAGTTTAATTTAATCCTTGCAAGCCTCTAACATTCTGTCACAGAATGTTTCCAATAAAATCACTGACAGCTCATGCCTGAAGTTCAGGGTTACCCATCTGCAGAATCCTATTTTTCCTTCATTTAGCCAAGATTAAGAGTTCCTCTGACTCACTAGCCAATGCAATCATAAAAAGGAAAAAAAAATGAACACTGCAGCAAATCAACAGCAACAAAAGTTGTGGAGTGACCTCCTTACAACTGCTGAAATAGGCTGATGGACTGCAATGACTGTACACCGTCATGCAGTTGCTGAACTGGAACAGTATACCTCGCTGTCCAACACAATTTCTGCAGCCAGCCCAGTTCAAATAAAGCGTACACACTGACAAGTACAATTAGCTTTAAAATACATATACGGAGCGCTTTGGTGATCATGCAATCTGGAGAACCCACAGCACCATACAAATTGGCTTCAAAAATAAAATCACAACACTCCAACCAAAATGCGGGTGCAGTCACCACCCAGTAATTTCATGCACGAAAAGACTGGAATGTTCTCTTCACAAAGTCAAGTTTGCACCCCTCCCATTCGGTAGAAACGGAGGGGGCAGAGGGTGATTTATCACAGATGGAATTACGGTGGGGGGTATCAGAGACGTCTACAGCCTGGTAGGAGCAAACAGGGCAGTTCACTCTGCTCCCCACTCCTTCCGGGGGGGGGGGAGAAAGAGGGAAGAGAGATTACAAGATATCCACACAAACCGACAGACCCTATAAACCTGACCCTATTTTAACAATAAAACTGCAAAGAAATCCTCTGCAATGATAAAGACACCTCCTTCCCCTCTTCGCAAAATCCAGTCACGTCCCACCACCGTTCTGTTTTTAGAAGTGTTTTAATCCATTTCGTTCGGGGGGGGGGGGGGGGGAGAAATGGGACTGAAAGAAAAATAACCACTCGAGCTGAAGTGAGAGGATTCCCAGGTTTGCAAACGGACTCGATAAAACCATTGGGCAACACCCTCCCCACCATTTTGGAGTGAGCAATAATCAGATCCCCATTCCACCTTTTGTTTCCCGACAATAGCAAACTAAATATCTTCCCCTACCCGCCTGATGTGGTCTTTTTAGAAATGAAGACTGAGGGAATTGGGGAAAGGAGCTCCGAAAGCTGACGGGAGCAGCGGATCTAGAGGGGGTTAGACCTGCCCTCTCGGTTACAATGTAGCGCGAAGGTGTCGCCTGGGACAAGATGCAGTGAAAGCCTCCGGCTTTCCCCCCACCCAAAGCCGTGTCCCCCGGCCCGGAGGAGCCGCGTTCCCCCGGGGGTAAGGTGGAGGCGATGCTGGTGAATGAAATGTGCTCACTCTTTCCCTGGCCTGCCGCTCACTGTCCAACTCCCGCTGCAGCAGCTCAGCCTTCTCCTCCGCCTCATCCGCCTGTTGTTGCAGGAACTGGATTTTTCTCTTCACTGTATCAATCGTCGCTGAGTTGGGACCAGACATGATTCCTCCTGCAACTTCTTCTTCTTCCCCGTCCTCCTCTCTTTTTAAGGGGGGGGGAGCTGTAACAAGGGGGAAACCTCGATACAGTCTGCAACAAAATAACAAAGACAGAGAACTGTACGCGAACCAGGGGCACAGTCTCTGGTCGATCAGGTGGCTCCACAACCTCTGCTGCCAGGTAAGAAAAAAAATCAGCAAGTCGTCCCTCTCTTCCCCCGCAAGGGCGTGAACCGCCGGAAATTCCTGCGCACTCTTCACCAGGCGAAGGGGAGGGATTGGGAGGCTGGCCGCACTCCGCTCTCTCCAGCATCCCCCAAAATCAATGAGTTCATCCCCAGGAGGTGTGGAGACGACGTTGCAGCACCCATCTGAACAATGACTGAAGGAAATGTGCTTTCATAAACCCTCCCGTCCTAGGATTCCACAAAAAAAACCCTGATTTTTTTTTGTTTCCATTTATTTCGCGATGTTAAATGTGTACCTGCGAGAGAATGCTTAAATATTCTCAGGTTACGATTTATAAGAGGTCATTCACCAACCCATAGCAAATTAAAAAAGCTGTCCCAATCCTATTAACAGCCCTGCAAATTTTACTTTTTCGATGGGATGTCGAAATCCCTTTTTAAAAGTTTTTTTTTAAAAGTTCGGTCTGCTGCCAGCATCTTTTCAGGCAATGCATTACACATCTGAACAATTCACTGTAAAAATCTGTTTCGCTCCCCTCTAGTTCTTTTGCTAATTATCTTAAACAAGTGTCCTCCGGTCACTGATCCACCCACCAGTGAAAACAATGTTTCTTATTTAGTCTTTTTTGCATAAGGGGGAGATAAAGTTCTACAAATTTAGAAATTGCAGAAATGGTTTAAATTATTTTCAACTTTGTTTACCTCACTTGTTGATACACTATGAACTTATATGTCAACTCGGCTCCCTCTGAGTAAACAGAGATAACGAGGTGTACAGCTGGATGAACACAGCAGGCCAAGAAGAACAGTACATGAATATGACCTCCTGGCCTCTGCTATTCGTTGACCTTTGCCTATGCTCCAGGCTAGGGAGGTTTAGAGAGGAAAACCCTGTTTTCGAACATTATTCAGAGGCTCCTGTTGGATTTTTAAAAATTGTTGATCAAGTTTGGGTGGGTCTCTTCTGCCCCCTGTTATAGCTAGTCCAGCCAACAACAGTGTCTGCAAATGAAGTAATGGTAGTTGAGTGAGATAACAGAAGATAGATGTGGATCTGTACCCCAGCATGATTTATCTTTCTATTTATTTGCTCATGGAATGTGAGCATTGTGACAAGGTCAGCATTTATTACCAATCACCATTTGCCCTTAAGGGAGGTGAACTGCTTTCTTGGACCAGTGCCAACCCACCCATCTGGGGTTGACCTGATTGACCTGATGAAGGAAGGAAGGAACAGCAATGTAGTTTAACGTTAAGATGGTTGCGGCTTAAAGGGGAATTACCATTCACTGAAAGGTGAGAGAAAAAAGGAATCAAGACAGTAAATACAGGGACTCTGATGCAAAGCTTGCACGTTTTTTTTTAAAAAATTGTTCAATTAAATTCCAAGACAATACCTTATGCCCACAACAGGCCCAAACATGTGGAAAAAAATCTGCTCAAGTTGAAATGCTTTGGGAGCTATAGGTTCAATAAAACCTGCTCCTGCCACACATGCGTCACTTAAATTGGCATTCACATATAACCTAAAATATTGAGGAAAAATGGGCCACCACAGTAAATGCCTTGAATATATATCAATTTAATACTTTAGTTTATAAACAAAGTATACATAACATCAGAAATGGGAGGCAATGGTGCGCTACTGGACTAGTAATCCAAGAACCCCGGGCCAATGTTCTGAACACCTGGATTCAAATCCCACCTGGTAGATGGTGACAATTGAATTCCCTACAAAAAGCTGGATTAAAAAATTAGTCTAATGGCGATCATGTAACCACTATCAATTTAATGTAAAAATCCATCTGGTTTACTAAGGTCCTTCAGGGAAAGAAACTGTAAACTGCCATTTTTACCTAGTCTGACCTGCATGTGACACCACACCCACACCAATACAGTTGACTCTGAACTGTTCTCCAGCCAATTACAAATGGTTAATAAATGATAGCCTAACCTGTGATATCCACATCCCACACATAAATTCGTACAAGAAATGCTTATCTGACATCCAGTGCTAGACCATAAGATATAGGGTATGGTACTCAGACTCCAGCCCTAGTCTTGCCTACTAGTGGAATATCTTCCTCGTGTCTATTCTATCAGGCCTCTGAGTATTCGGTAAGTTTCAATCCGATCTCCCCTCATCCTTCGAAACCCCACTGAGTGCAGATCCAGAATCCTCAGCCACTCCTCTTGACAAGCTCTTCATCCTTGGGATCATTCTTGTAAATCTCCTCTGGAGTCCCTCCAAGGCCAGCTCATCCTTCCTTAGATACAGGCCCCAAAACTGCTCAATATTCCAAACGTAGACTGACCAGAACATTATACAGCGTCAGCAGTACATCTCAGCTCTTGTATTCTAGCTGTTTTGAAATGAATGCTAACATTGCACTTGCCTTCCTAACTGCCAAATGAATCTGCATGTTAACCTTAACAGAATCTTGAATTAGGACTCCTGAGTTCCTCTGTGCTTCAGATTTCTGAAACCATTCCCTGTTTAGAAAATAGTCTAGGCCTTTATTCTTCCAAGTGCATAATCTCATACTTACCTCATTGTATTCCATCTGCCACTTCTTTGTCCACTCTCCTAGCCTGTCCAGTTGAGGCCAAAACTTTGAATGTTTTCAAGAAGGAGTTAGATACAATTCCAAATCATAGAATATGGGGTGAAAGTGGGAAGAAGGTATTGAGCTGGATGATCCGATATGATCATATTGAATGGAGGAGCAGGCTCAAAGGGCCAAATGGCTTACTCCTGCTCCTGTCTGCTGTATTTCTATTTTTGTATGACAAGGGGAACTGTCTTGCTCTTCTGGGAGGGAAGGGGATGGTGTAAGCTCAGAAGTGCAGGAAATGGATCAGATACAACTGAGAGTCCTGTCAACTATGATGGGCAGTCCTCGGTTGAAGAGAAAGGAAGACATGTCAGAAACATTCCCTACGGAAGGTAGTAGCATTAGAACAGATGGAGACACTAGGAGAATGGAATGGAGTCCTTACTGGAAGCAGGATGTGAGGAAGAAGCAGAAAACAGAGGAAGGATCAGCAAGGCTGCCTCCCCCACAAGCTCGGATACTGACACCTCAGTGACAATATTAGGTTTACAGAGTATGGGACCGCAGTCTGGTGAGCACTTCACTGTGACAGCCTGCAGGGGGCAGAGGACAGAATGGCCCAGGCAGGATAGGACCCTGTGATGTCAGCAATCGGGGATTTTGTCCACACGGACAGAGGGGTACAGGAGCAGCAGACATGTATGTGGGACAGGGGTATCACCCTCATTATTCCAAAACTGCTGCAGTTCAACAGGTTATGTGACTTTGTTTTGTTCATTCACAAGAGGAGGATGTTGCTGGCCAGGCCACCATTTATAGTCCATTCCTAATTGCCCAGAGGACAGTTAACAGTGAACCACATTGCTGTGGGTCAGGAGTCAAATTAGGCCCAATCAGATAAGGATGGCAGTTTCCTTCCCTAAAGGGCATTAGTAAACCAGACTAGCTTTACCAGACAATTGACAAATGGTCACTATTAGACTCTTACTTCCAGACTTTATTTTTAATTGGATTCTAATTCTACCATCTGCTATCATGGGATTCGAACCTGGGTCTCCAGAACTGTACCTGGGTCTGCATCATCAGTCCAGTGATAATGTCACTAGGCCATCGCCTCCCCTAAGTCTGTCTGGCTGGCTGCCTCCACAGACAAGTTGGCACTGCCACAGACAGCCATGTCCAACACTCTCAGGGTCTGCTAGAGAAATACTTGTCATTCTTTGTCCCAGTCATTGGTCCTCAGGACTAAAGGCAATGACAACAGTGGGATGGGGAATCTGGTGAACACTCCAGGTGCCTCTTACAAGGAAATAGATTGATACCACAAGGCACCCAGTTGAAGGAACTGCAGATGGCACAAAAATAGGTGGGAGGGCAAGTGCTGAGGATGATAACAAAGAGTCTGCAGTGGGATATAAATAGATGGAAGAGGACGGGGGAAAATATGAGTTTATGGACATTAGCAGGAAGAAGAGAGGAGCTGATGATTAATTAAATGGAGAAAAAGACTGCTGAAAGCTCTATCACAGAGGAATTTCAGAGTTCTCATCCACAAATCTCAAAACATTCAGTGGGTAATCAGGAAAGTAAATGGAATATTGGCCTTTATTTATAGGCTGGGGCTACTTTCCCTGGAGCGTCGGTGGCTGAGGGGTGACCTTATAGAGGCTTATAAAATCATGAGGGGCATGGATAGGGTAAATAGGCAAGGTCTTTTCCCCAGGGTGGGGGAATCCAAAACTAGAGGGCATAGGTTTAAGGTGAGAGGGGGAAAGATTTAAAAGGGTCCTAAGGGGCAGCTTTTTCACACAAGGGTGGTGTGCGTCTGGAAATGAGCTGCCAGAGGAAGTGTTGAAGGCTGGTACAATTACAACATTTAAAAGGCATCTGGATGGGTATATGAATAAGAAGGATTTAGAGGGATATGGGCCAAATGCTGGTAAATGGGTCTAGATTTATATAGGATATTTGGTCGGCATGGATGAATTGGACAAAAGGGTATGTTTCCTTGCTGTACATCTCTATGAATCTATTAGAATGTAGTATAAAGTAGGGAGATTTTGCTAAAACTATACAAAACACTAGTCAGACCTTAGCTGGAATACTGTTATGAGTTTTGGGCCCTTTATCTAAGGCAATATGTACCGGCGTTGGAGACAATCCAGAGAAGGTTCACTAGGCTGATGCCAGGTATGGACTGTCTTATTGGACAGGTTGAGTAGGTTGAGCCTTTACGCATTGGAAGATGGAAGAATGAGAGATAACCTTATTGAAACATGCAAGATTCTTAGGGGATTCGACAGAGTATATGTGCAAAGGTCATTTCCCCTTGTGGGACAGTCTAGGACCAGAGGGCAGAATATCAGAAAAAGGGGCCATACATTTACCACAAAGATGAGGAGAAATTTCTTCTCTCAGAGGCATGTGAATCTGTGGAATTCTTTACCACACAGGGCTTTTGAGGCTGGGTCATTAAGTATATTCAAGACTGATAGACAGATTTCTAAACTGTAAGGGAATCAAGAGTTATGAGGAAAAGGAAGGAAAATGGGATTGAGGACTATCAGATCACCTGTGATCTCATTGAATGGCGGAGCAGACTTGATGGGTTGAATGGCTTATTGCTGTTCCTACGTCTAAAGGTCTTACTTTCTTTCGCGTTAAAAGTGCGAACATCAAAGGGTAATGCAACCTCATTTACTCTGCCCATTCCACTTGTGCTCAGCCATTTTCCTCCTCATGGTGCATTTCTAGTTTCCAAGGTGTTGGAAGGTGACAGTGAGCACTCTTTGGCCACTGGTTTGCAGTCTCGGTTCAATGTGTTAGTAAGCCCCCTTCCTGGTAGTCCTCTCTGCAACGCTGGCATATGAGATGACCATGCCAAGTGCAGTCATTCACTGCCCCCACCCTTTTGAAGCCTTGGTGGTCCCTGACAGTGGATGAAACATCTCCTGTGTGACCCACCTTCCCATTCAGGCTTTACCATATCCTGCCACCACAGATACAGTTACCTCACTGCACTTAGTTTTGGCATAACCCCTTTCACTCACCACTGCCTTAGTTTAAAAAAAAAACTTGTCACATCACTTGTTAAAAGTTTAAAAGATGGAGAAAGTTGTTCCCATCGTCAAGTTAGACCTCACCAGACATCTCATCAGATTCTGGCACAAATCTTGTCATAGCCCATCTTACTCAGACCACTATAAAAGTTCGGTCTTTGTTTCCTCTTTCATAACGTACCAAATATAAAATATAAATTAAACACAGCCATTACATTATTATGAATACACTCCTTAAAACTTGTCTTTTTGACCAAGCTTTTGTTACCTAATATCTCCTTACATGACTCAGCGTCATACTTTGTTTTATAATACTCCTGTGAACAGCTTTGTGATGCTCTTTAAGTTGAAGCTGCTACGTAAATAGAAGTTTTCTTTATTATGATATAACACCTGTGACATAGACAATTGCCCTCACTCTTCAGAAACTAAAGGAAGAGATAATGGGCTAAAAGTGACTAAATGTTTGTTTGAAGAAATATCTCTCAAGAAGGCTTCTGGGAGGTAGAGTGTCAGAGGAATTTAGAAAAGGAATTGCAGAACATGGGACATAGGCAGCACGGCCATTAGTGTTGGGGGGACAGAGGTACCCAGATGTGGGGAAGACAGATACACCGAGTGAGGGGTAGTATTTGTAACAAAGATAGAAAGTATGTAGAGAGGATATGATAGTAGAAGCTCTGCTTCGAGTCTGTAAGTGTGTTGAAGTTATAAACAATCAGCCAGAGACAGTGATGAGTACAAAGGTTGGGGTGGAGCCAAAAATAATAGTTTTGGCTTTCCTAGTGTTCACTGAAAGGAAATGATGATTCATCCAAAACTGGATTTCTGACAAATGGTCCGAAAGAATAGAGACATTGACAATTTAGACAAGATCTAACCAGGCCCAGGCAAGGGGGCATGCTGGGCAGGCTAGTGTAGAAAAGTGGATACAGGGAGGTCAAACTGTAAGAGGGCCTCTAATGACACAGAAAGGAGATCATCCTCCCTGGCCGATGGCCTGCAAGGTCTTAGCAGTCATTCATTCTCACTTTAACTGGGCCCTGGCAGGCAGCTCACCTGGGGTGCACGCTGCCCTTCCCCTGTTTTTCAGGTGGGCCCTAACTGGCCATTTATTAACCTCAGCTGGCTCTCCACTTTCTGCCGACAACTCGCTGTTCCACCCTCAATCCCAAAATGAGTGATCCTGGCAAACTAGCACACAGTCCATCAACATGAACCCACCTCCACTCGAGGCC